TTGTCTAGTAATGTTATGAAATTCATAGAAACTTTTTGATAGAAAGAATTTCAAGATACAAGCTACTCTATTCCTCCTGGTCTGTTGTATGGTTTCATAAACCCTCTGATTTTAGGGTTTCTACTATCTCCCTAGTATGTGCCAGTGCTGATCATTGTTGTGGTTTAAAAAGACTGTGTTTGTTTTACTCTTTGGTCACCAATTGTATTTTCTTCCAGACTAGTTCCGTATTTCCAAGTATTTCCATAGGTCATGTTTTCTAAAACCTTTACTTATTGCACTCCCCTGCACTTCCCTGTCTTTCTTAAAATATTGCAGTTAAAAGTGATTTTTTTAAAAAATCAAGCAGAATACAGCAATCATTTGCCAGAAATTTTTCACAGATCAGAACAGTGAACATTTCTCCCAAGTTTACACATGACATAGCATATAATGCAGCCAGAAGTGGTGGTGGTGTTTTGCATCACATTCTCTATCCTATGTGAACTACTACAGCCCCCAGATTTTCTTTACACAGCTGCTGACTTTTTCATATTTATGCATTTGACTATTTCTTTCCTACGATCTTTCACTCTTTAAAGTAATTGCAAATTTTGAAATGTTCCTATTTTCCTGTTCCCAAAGTGCAACATGTCCCAATTAATGTAATCCACGTGTGCATTATACATTGCAAACCTTATACTTCTGTATCACTTGTGTTGCAGTGACAATCACAAAAATCAAAGTTAATCATTCTCACTGCTCAAATATGAGTAGCGAGTTCTCTAGAAAAACTTCCTTGAAGTCTCTCATGAGCAATAGGCACCTTTTGTTCTATAATGTGATTCTAGCTGAGCTCTATAATATTTTCATTTTGACACCCAAAAAAGTAAAGAACAGAAGCATTTGCTGATATGATTCACAAGTGGTGAACCTGAAGGGCTATTTTTTCATCAAATTTGTTTCTTATTTTTCATTCACAGTGCATATAAAATGTCAGAAATTAGATATAAAATAGCTCTTAAAGCCAAACAGAACAGACTTTCATTTGAATTAAATGTATTGTGCAATATCATGCTAGAACAGTCATTTTTGGTTTTCTCTTATACTTTTCGTGCTAAGTGTCCAGTTTCTGCCATATTTGCCAGCTAGTTTTACATTTGCCCCATGTATAGACCATGTATCTAATAAATTACACACCCTTAAATAGCTAAACACATTGTAAGCATAACATGAACTCTGAACACATCAGTAAAGCAACCTCAGCATTAGGTGTGAAGTAGGATTTTGTAGCTCTGGTGCTTTCTTTGTAAGGACTACTCATGGCAGTGTGCATCTAAATTTTGCAAGTGTGTGAATTTTTGTCCTCTAGACTTTTCATCCCTTTTTCTTTGGAGAATCTCATTGCCATTCAGTGGATGGGGCCTTATAGTGTGAGCAAAAAGGTCACACAAGAGAAATGGTAGTTTCTTAATAAATAACTAGTATTGCGTTGTATGAGTAGTGATTATAGACATCCTCCAGTAATACAGAATGTCTTAAACCCATCTCAGTTTCTAAGTGTGTGAGGTCAACTGTAATAGTTTATATAACTCAGATGATATAAGTCTTAACATGTATTTTATTGAAAATAATCTAAACTAAACCACTGATATTTACCCAATATAGATTGTAGTGAAAAAGCAAAAAATACATATAGATAATGGACACAGACTATTTAGGTATTTTAGGGAAATGCTCATAGGGCAGAACGTTTAGAGTTAACTTTTTTTCCCAGTCCCCACTATTACTGGACAGTGCATTCCATTGGCTATGTAATTTCTTACTGCTTAGTCTGTGATTTTGAAGAAAATGAAAGTCACGTGTAAATGTTCCGTTTGGAGAGAAACAAGCTGACAATTCAGGATGACTCACTTCAGATAAGGCAAACAGACAGGATGGTTTGTAATATTCCAGTTGCTGTTTTTCTGCTGTTACCAGGATTTGCAAACTGTTCAGGGACAGAATTCTGACATCTGGCCCTTTCAGTTAATCTTATATTTCTGCAGTGTGTGCAAAGGAAGAGCAGCAGATAAACGTAGTCATTTCAGCAAGTCCATCAGGTCTTTTGAAGCTTATGCTCAAACAAGCTTTGTCCTTCTCTGCCCATAACTCAGCCCAGATCTGAAATGTTCAGCTTTGGCATGACGGAAGGAATGGGGTTTGTGATGGCCAAATCTCAGTCATCACTTCTGATTCTCTGCTCCAAACACCAAGCAAGCACAGCCCTCAGGGACTAGAATGTAGGTGGCATGAAGCTGGAATCAAGAATTCACTTTGAAATGGAGTAAATGGAGATACAGGAAATTGACTCTAGTTTCAAGTGTCTTAACATTACTCCCAGGCTCCTTTTGTTCTGTAACTGTTCAATATCATATTGTCTAATCCCTTCTTGTGTTCAGGTTTCTCTGGTTTCTGTTGTCATCTAAATTTAGTTTTGGGGATATATAGCGTAGTCCTTTTTCCAAAATCTCATCAATATTTCTTCCTCTACTGTACTCATCTCCTATCTCCATTGGCATTGATGCTATCATTAATTTGTACCTAAAGAATGTTATACACAGCACTGCAATTAATCTCATAAACCCTCAGGACTTGTTTTAGCTATATGGACATTTAACTGGTGTGCTCAGGCTGCACCTAAGTTGCTAGTAAATCTATAAACTTGGAATCTTTTTCTTGTCTTTTCTTTTGGTGTAACTATTGAAAAAAATATGCATGTTAAGAGAGTAATCATAGGAAGAATATGAGTCTCGTTGGACTTAATGTAGTTGCCAACATGTTAATAGGTCACTTAAGTAAGCATGGAACACTCTTTAGGCTCTGCAGGCTTTAACAAAATATTTGAGGAGATAGACCAGATTCATGGCAAACCCTATTTTGGGTTTGGTTTTTTCACCTTGTGATTACTTAGATACCTACATATAAATAAAATCTAGTTTTGCATGTCTGTGGTCATTAAAAACAAGAGGAGCAAAATAAGCCAAACATAAGACAACTGCAGCAGAAGTGTATACACAGGACATTTTTTTCAAGTTTTTATACACAGCAGGTCTGTGAAAGCAGCTCAGCAGGCTGAGTAGCTTTCATGAGCATTTCATCTTAGGAACTGAGTGTCTCTTTGCTGCTTTAAAGTGCATGCCAGCTGCTAATTACTTTTTTTAAAATGCAAATTTAATGGACTGGGGTATGTCATCATATCAAAACTACTGATACAACATTTTGGTAGTACTCCAGGTGAGTACTACAAGCTTGCATGGCTATCCTCTGAAAAAAAAAAAAGGTTTTCTTTGCATAGGAGAGTGTATTTTTGCTTTCTGTGTTTTAGTGTTTACTTCCCAGTAAGCACTTCCTGCACATTAACAGAACATTAGAGACAACTTTCAATTCACCAGTGCAAGATGTGCTGAATCAGGGGATATGAAGCTTGTAGCATGTTAAGATTTTATTTTCTATCTCTGGTCAAAAACCACCCAGAGTTGATTAGAGAATAACTCAAGCATAACATTAAAGAAAATAGCAAATAACAGAAACTCGAATTAAGACTGAAACATACTTAGATTTCGAGCCATGCAGGATGAGACTGTAGCACACACTTGGGCACACTGCTGCCTCTTGTGCAGTCTGAGGGGAGAGGTTTTGCTGGTTATATTTTTGCTTTGAGAACCATGTGTCATATGTAATGGTGATTATTAGCAGCTATGGCTCACACACATGCTTCTCTCCTGTCCTCTTTTACACCTTTATTTTTTATTTTCCAGGGTAATGAGAAAGGTTAAATGTTTTCTTGAATATCTGACTAAAGGTCTTCCCCAGCTAAAATGGCAGAAGATGCCATAAGGCAAACATGGGTACAGCTGAGGGGCTGCATTCTGGTTTTGCCTTGCTCATAGGACTAAACATGTCATTGGTGCTTGACATCCAGTGATTCAGGAGCTGGAAGTTGACTGAAATCTCCACCTCTTTGTTTGCACTCCTGTGCGATGCACAGCAGGCTCCTCTCAACTCTAGCATATCACACTTTTGAACATAACAGCAATGCTGACCTTTTAGAAATAAAATGGATGGGGATATTTCTGAAAGCAGAATTGACACAGGTGTCTGAAGTTACCTGTGTACTTGCCAGAATAATAAGGTAAAAAATTGGAAGCAACCTGAAAAAACCCAACCTGCTTACATTTCATTGAAAGCAAGAAATAAAAGACAACGGATGTTATACACATACAAGAATATTAATATGCAATTCCTCTTTACATCTTTTTTCATAGTCACTGATTTTCTTCCCACTGAGAAATAAAACAATATATATGTCTAGAACAATGCATTTTTTTGCTTAGTTAGTAGGGTTAAAATTGTATTTTTATTAAACACTGAGTACTTCCTCATTTATCATTTTAAATTGCATTACTTGTTTCCAAGGAGATAGAAATATGCAGGAAAATCATCTGAGACTCTGATTTGTAAGGCTGTTCTATTTAATGAGAGTTGAATGTGCTCTGTTTTAAGGAACAAAATAAACTTGAAGCCTCTGTAGTAAAGAGGTTGGGACTTCAAATTTCATTTCTGTGCAGTCCTACTTTCTGTGTCTGGAGGTTGGAAGGGGATTGCAAAATGTTCCAATCAGTATCAGACTGTCACTTAGTGGCAGTGTGGGACATTCCCTCACCCACTCAACCCTCGTAGCAGACTGTCACTTAGTGGCAGTGTGGGACGTTCCCTCACCCACTCACCCCTCGTAGTAGTGGCTTTCCCCTCACAGTCCAAAGTATCTCTTGGAGGACGAGAATGGACAGTAAACAACTTCTTTTTCTTCCTCTGAGCAGTTCAGAGATGCTAAAGCCTGAGTGGGTCCATATAGATATTTATAAGCCTCTAATTGTTCAGCCATGTGCTAACGCTAATTTCTAAACAGGGACAGGTTGGTTTAATTCTGTTAATAAAGTCCTGAAGAGATCTGAAGGTAAACACATCAGTTGCCTTACCTGAAGTAGTCTTCACCACTTCAGTTGTATTTCTTAAGCCTGTGAAGGCGAACTGGTACAGCCTCCAGGACCTGGTGTCCCCCACCTCCACAGAGCTGCGCTTCCACTGGTAAATGATCTCTTCTCTTGGGTAGCCATCTGATTGCAATGGGAAACACAGAATGCTTTGGTTGAGAGCCATCACTAAGGGTCTGGTGTACTTTGGGGAGTTCAAAGTATTACTTTCTATTTCTGGCAAAAACTGGAGAAGCAAGTAAATTATAGATATGTTTTTTCTCAAGTTACTTAGTAGTGCCTTTTAGTTAATGTCACATTTTATTTTATTAATTATAAATTAAAATAGCACTTGAGATAAATTTTTCAAAAGTAGATAGGTTTTCCACTTCTGTGAACCCAATAAGATGCAATTTTGCCAATCCTTCACTTATGGCCAAAAACATGTCTACAGCTGGACCAGGAATTCACACCTTGACCTGACTGCAAAAAGTCAAACTCTTGACTCCAATTAGTGCAATAGTAAAACACCTGTGCACAGAGAGATAGCATAAGGCCATCAGACTTTGATGCTGAAAGTAAAAATTTCTACTTTTATGCTGAGATATAAACATAAATTAATCACATAGGTTCCATAATTTTTTATTTCTTTCTATAGCATTCTGCAGTTGTATTAGTGAACATATATGATTCTTGTACTGAAAATAAAATCAAAATAAATCTGCAAACCATTGGGCTATATCCAGTTAAGAACATTACCCTCACTGACTCTTAGTGTGTAAATATAAATTTATAATAAGCAGTTCAGTGTGGCTCAGAAAAGGGATATTTTTAAGCATATTACTTACAGCTTGAAAATTCCAGAGGGCAGGAGTGGACATCCATTGGGAAGTTGTGTAACTGTAGCTGACACTCAGCATCAATTGTCAGCCTGAGGAGAAAGATATCAGGAGATACAGAATGCACCTGAGAACATTGTCCTGAGAGCTACATCATGGCAAGCAAAATGAGATTCTTACTAATATGGATCCTATGAAATATGCAAATATTCTATATACATTTAAAGCAAAAGTAAACTATTGATACCTATGTAATTATTTGATTATTCCAAACATAGGAGGAAATCATGATTACCAGTAACCAGTGTTTCATTTTGGTTACATAGGCCATGATCATCTCCTTTCTGGACTGTGTAATAGAAGAAGGTATTAAAGTTCTGTTCCTATGCATCAGAAATGGCAGCATTACTCATGACTGACAAATCCATAAGTAGATATACAGGTCATATCATAAGCAGTGACAAATCTTTGTGTCACAACATGCCATAATGCACTAGGGAAATGTATTTCATGTGACAAAATTTCTATTTCAGAAGTGATGGATGGGAGTCCAAATTTAGACATCTGCATCCAAGACAGCCATCTAGACTACTTTCATAGCTAGGCAAAGGCACTCTGAGGATACCCTTAATTTCATTCCAAAAGAAGACATTTAAACTAAATCAGAAGACAAATGTACTGACAGGTGTTTCTCTCCACTGAATAGTAGGAGAATCTCCGTGATAACTCAGGTAGTAGAGATGCTATAGCCCAGGTAGAGACATGTACTTTTAGAAATCCAAATTGGATGAGATGCCTGCTAAAAGCTCTACCATTTTTCATTCAGTCCCAGCACTGACATGAGCTGCAGGACAGTTGGACTTTGAAAAGGAGGGTGAGAGAGGGATTGGACTTTGAAAAGGAGGGTGAGAGAGAGAAAAAGGAAAAGGAAAAGGAGGGGAAAAGTCTCTTTCCCAAAGTCTCTAGGAAGACCATAGGTTTGTAGTCTTTGCTGATTCTGAGGTGTCCAAATGATCAACCCTGTGAGTTAAGTTTGTCTCCAGGTTCCTGTGTGTAGATGCTGTGTGCAAATGACTCCCTGAGTCTCATCCTATGGGATGCAGAGGGATGCTGTGACCACTAACCAGCAAGTTAATGAAGTCAAAAGGAAACTCTTCTGCATTAGGGACTTAGGAACAAATCTAATTCCCCTGTCACCCTTCCTCTTTTCATTTTTGTCATCCTCATTATCACAGATACTTGATTTCCTGCTGGTCAGGATGGTTCTTGAGCCTGGGGAAGGTGATTGAGAAAAATCAACCAGCCCTGCCACAGTCCTGTGTTCTTCAGGGCAGAATCCCAGATCTGTACTACTATCACATTTCCCTTATGGGTTAATCCAGGTTGAATCCTTACTGATGCTTCCTGTGGCTCACTAGCACAGCTAAATATCCATTCATGACAGACAACCATTTATAAGTTCTAACAGATATAGCTCTTTCTAATGAGAGAAACTGAGGGTTCTGAAGAGAAAGGTAATGAAATCCAAAGACCCAGTAGCGTAGCCAAGTCCAAATTTAACATTTCAAAAGTGGATCTTGGATCATCTTGATCACACTGACTTTGATTTGCATTGGTTTTCAATTTCGATCATTCTCTTATCTCTTCTGGTGATGCAATATGTAATGAATGTAAAATAACTATGAAATACAACTTCTTTTTGTAATTTAGACAGTTGCAACATTAAAAGGTTGTCTTAACCAATGCTTCAGATCTATTCATTAAAATTATGATGAGTGTACTTTTCTTGAAAACTTTATTTTTGGCACCAAATAAAAGAAGAAAAACACTTTGAAAAAATGCAGTCTAAACCTCAGATGTCTTACGTCTATCGTCTTGGATTCTATACTGTCATTTTAAATTATAAATTCTCTTGAGCAAATGCTGTTCATATATATATATATATTTACATAAATCCAAATATTGTATCACATGTAAGAAAAAACCCCAACCAAACACTTATGATTTTCACATTTAGGAAGTATCTTATGGTCACTTGGAATATGATATTTGAGTTGTTACATATGGCATATGTTACACTTAAATGCAGGCATACACATAATTACTGCAAAGGTGATCTGTCTCAAAAGAAAAGCTATACATGTGACTGGGAAATCTGGAGATGAGTGAATCAAGTTCAGGTTCATGAAAATTTTAGTGGAATGGGTTTGGATTAAACCTTAAATGTTCAATGCTGAAATGCTAAAATTTATTTTTGTAAGATATTTGAGGAATAAAATGATTTTGCAGGGTGGAACTTCGTCTAGCTAAATTGTAATCAAGTTAGAATAAGAGGTCTTTGATATATATAATACCTTCTTTTATACCATCTGCTTAATTCGAGGATATTTCAAATGTATCAGTTTAACCCCATAAAAAGGTAAAAGGAGTTAGGGACCAAAACAGTGGTAAACAACAAAACACACCTGAAAATGAAGATTAATTACCATAAACATGCCTATATGCATTTTAATATAGGAAGTGACTATTGTGGAGCAAGACAGTACAATCTGCAGGAAGAAATAAAACTCTCTATTGTTCCAATATAAAATAAATTTCATGCAATTGACATCTTCTAAGTATTTCCCTTTTTCAGGGTTGTATGCATAAGTAAATAGGGAAGCTCAATGCTTTTTTCCTTCAGGTTAATGTGAAATGACCTGAATTCACAGGATCTTTCTCTTTGGCTTTCCTTAGAGAAACGGAAATGAAAGTTAGGTATAAATACCTCAATGTGTACAAGACTCTGCCGTCATTCCAGATCCTTAGCATCCTATTAGGAGTTGTTATCCAATGGGCATCAGCTTTCTTGGAATTTCGGAAAAATGTATCTGGTATCCAGATCTTCCCAACCATGTTGCTGTTTAATCTGAGCACTTTTATAGTGCTGTTGAACTTCAGACGTCTGTCATACCACGTTTGGGCGAAAAATATATCAATTGTATATTCCTGTTGTGTTAACCAGAAATACTGATGAAAACATAGCACTCAGCATTTCACATAACTCCTTATGCTTTCCTTAACTTCATGTGAAAAAACTGTCAGTTACAGAAGATGATATTAGGACTGATAAAACCAATTTTTTTGTGAATTTTTGAGGCATGGTTTACCAAAGATTATGGTTTAAAAGCAATTTATTCTGTTATTTTCCCACTGATAGGTAATAGGAAGGTGCAACTGAGTGGTATATGCATCTCTCAAGCTCAGTGTTCCTGCATCTCAACCCATACCTGCTTAGGCCAGAGAACAATTACTTATTCCCTTGGATCTAGGACAGGAAAAGTTTGAGCTGACTTGGCTGCCTTGATTGCCTGTGCCCCCTGGTTAATATCAGAAGTGCTGAAGGCTCACTTTTCCTGGCACCACTGAGCAGCCATAAGCTGCAATGTGAATTATAGGATGGAAAAGAGCAATCTAAGATTTCTTTCTACACAGGAAAACTACAAGACTGAAGTAGACATTGTGTTAAGGCTAGACTGCTTTCCCTGACCTGTACAAAGCTACCATGAAATTTTTCTGTGGGAACTTTGGAAAGAGGAGAGATGATACAGGCTTTTTTCTTTTTATCTCTTGGTGGCAAGAGTGATAGTATCACTGGTGAATGGTTTGCCTTATTCTGTCACAATCTGGAAGCTTAGTTTTACAAGAGTTAAACTGTCACAAAGCATTTGAAAGCAGAGCACATAAAAATGTGAAGATATGTTAAAACTATTATAATTACATTTTCTCACCGTAGAGCTCAGTCTTCCTGTCTTATGAAGATTTATATCTCATATAGTCCTCACATCCATAATTACAATGAGGTTTAAAAAATAATATAGGTATAGCACAACATTATTACTAATGGAAGCTTTGTAATGTCAAAATGATGGAGACTTTGTAACAAGAAAAACTGGCAATCATTTACTTACCATATTGATAGCATTCACAGGCCCAATGCTATTTACGTACATGTCAGTGTGAATTATTGTGGGTTTAACTGTAAGAGGAACAAGAAGAATCAGGAACATGAAGGAAGGTCAAAATCAACTATATGAAAGTCAAACACAAGCATATTATGATGCTTGTGTGGCCTCTCCTGTGTGGCTATGGTTGCCTCACATTTAAATGTGCATATACAATAAATATAAATTTGCAGCAATGTCTTCAGTTTGAAATCAGTTGGAGACATTTTGAGACAAAGTCTTATATCATTTATTCTATCAGAACATATTCCCTTAAGTTACGAGAACAAATACTGAAACCAGTGTCATAAGCTTAGAGTGACTCATATCTGACTGAGAGGATGTATATTTTGTGTCTGATCACAGCAACACGTCTGACAAAACACTATCAACAAAAGAAAACTTATTTTTTTATGATGTCTTGCATCACTCATTTTACATTATAATTGCCAAATGCAACATGACTGCTGTTGCCTTCAGAGGTGGCTGTAGGTAAGTAACAATTTCATGAGCCCAAAGCAAAAATAATACTCAAGGCTCTAAAGCAGAAATGAAAAACAGTCTTAGATTAATTTATTTTGAAATTTATCTGTTGTACCTTTATTATTCTTATACACCTTGACTAAAACATGATCTTTTTTTCCCCAGATGCTTTTAAGAATGCTTTCTTCCTATCTGTTTCTAAAGTCCTGGATTGGGAGAATAAGACAAATTCCTAGTTTAATTTACACCATATACATACATTGAAGGTTAAAGACTCATGTTATCCCTCACTGTGAAAAATTCCTTAGTTTATAAGCCTCTATAAACTTGTTAGAAACAGCTTCCTTCATTAACCTTGCTGCTCTCTGCTTTCCTCTGCCTGCCTCATCCATGAAATCTCTCTGCATTTTTCTATAATCTTATTACTGCTGTATCCTTTCTGCAGAGGTATTGTCTGCCTGCTCTGTGCACACAAGAGGCTTCTCAAACTGACTTGCAGCAATTCAGGGAGATTTTTTGTTTCACGCTCCCTCAGTAATCAGGGGAGAGGAAGATTCCTGCAAAAGGTGATTCAGTCAAATAAGACCTCCATTATGAGTCCAGGCTTGGGTCTGTATACCTAAATTGTCTGTGGGAATCATCCGGGGACATTGGCCTTGCTCGACTGCATCTATCTTTTGTGAACCTCTTTCTCTGTGCCCCACTCCCCTATCACCTCTGGCCCTGCTGTGCAAGTGAGGGACTGTGCTGCATCAGCCAGTGGAGACCTGCTGCTGTTGGATGCTCTGTATCCATCACATCACACAAGGATCAGGCTGTGTTATCCTCTTTTTAGCTTTCCTTTCCAATATATTATTTGTGATTCTCTACCAGCCTCACTTAGGTATAAAAAGAAGATACAAACTTGCTTTTTCATTCCTCAGAAGTTAAATTCTGAACTTCCTATGCTGCTGGATCATTACAAGCAGCCTGATTCAGCAAATCACAACAGTCTTAGTACGTGTCTTAGGATAGATTCAGCAGCCCTAATTTATGTCAGCTTCCGAAATCATGACTACTTTTCATGCCACTGATGTTTTACTACGTTGTATTTTATTCTCATAACTGCTTCTAATGGATTCTGCTTCCTGTGTAGCATAATATGACACAAAAATTCTTTCTCTTCACTTTTGACTCAAAAGTGGTTTAAAAAGAAAACCGACATACCTCCTATGTCAGGTCTCAACTTGTTATCATATCCTTCCAGCAAGCCATTTAAAATAAGAGTCACATCACTCTCATGGACTTTGGGAGTCAAAACCCAGGTCTTATTTGTAGTGTAATCTTCATAATCATCATCTCCCTTTTGAGTGGAACTATTAAAGAAATGAAAGTGGAGAAATGGAAAGCCTTGAAAAATACAGATATGTTGGTAACTTCTTTGGGAGACAATACACACATTTCAGGTTTTAATAATACTGTACAAAACATTGAAAATTTGTCTCTTTATAAAAGAAGACTCCCAGTAAAAATGCCACATAACAGTTTGAGGTTACAGTTCACTTCAGCAACATTTCCTTCTAGTACAGTTGAGATCATAAATGGAAAGCCTTGAAAAATACAGATATGTTGGTAACTTCTTTGGGAGACAATACACACATTTCAGGTTTTAATAATACTGTACAAAACATTGAAAATTTGTCTCTTTATAAAAGAAGACTCCCAGTAAAAATGCCACATAACAGTTTGAGGTTACAGTTCACTTCAGCAACATTTCCTTCTAGTACAGTTGAGATCATATC